CGTTTAAAGTGAAATGAAATACATTTTTGTACACGAAATGGATGAAAAAGAATGTGCTAAACATTTTTTTAATACAATATCTGTTAAAACCGCTAAATAATATAACATCTAGTAACATTAATGAGCAATAACATAAATATAACATTAATAAAACAGAGTACAAAATAAAGGTTAGTATTTTCATTAAAATAATATTCGTATTATGATGATTTAATATAAAATAAAAGCGAATAATGATAATAATAAAATTAATAAATAAAATTTGTGAATAATAAAAATAATACTAGAACAACAATAAAGTGGAATAAAAAAATAAGTGACAAATAATATTAAATATAACAAAATAACAATATTAGAAATAATAAGATAGTAATATATTAATAATAATAATAATTGTAATAATAATATTAGCGTTTACAAATGGCTATTTATGAGATCATTGAGAATTTTTCATGTGTGTTAAACATAGTAAAATAATTTATACAATTACAAATATTATAAGTGTGTTTGACTGGAATACATCAACTGGAAATCGTATTGAATATTTTTAGGTTTTTTTTTATATTATTTTTGAACAGCAATCAGAACCTTACGTCCTATGAGCTGTTGGGCTGAAACTTCTCCTTACTTCGTATTTTTTTAGATGGTAATCCAATGGTTAATCCATCCATATTTGATAATTTTTTGTTATTAGAATTAATCTAATAGGGCTGACTTTTCATTTGTGCAGCAATGCCGGGCAAGGGCTATTTTCACTTGGAAACATGTTGCTACCTATATTTTCAAGTGAAAATCGTTGTCACTGCTGCCTGACAACAGGCTGCTCGAAGTGGGTATCGAATCCGGGACCTCTGAAACAAGTCCCGTCGCTGAATATTTTTAAGTGTAAGAGTAAATATTATTTTAAAATCAAACATACCTAAATAGCTAAATCTCAATTCTTATTGATAAAGTTGATTATGTACATGTACTGGAAACTTCGTGCAACTTGCCCTCAGGCAATTTTTTACTTACAAATTACAACTAGTTATAATACAATCTCTTTTTATATGTCTCCAATATATTATGATGTATATGAATCCCAATATTACGTACTAACCTAAAAAAAAACCTTTACTCTATCATTTGAATCAACACGTTTCAGTACCCCACAAACCGCATACACAAACAACCTACTACACACACTAAACCCACTATACATATTTCCATTTCATGAATCGTTCAATATTTACTACCCTCTCCCGAAGAGTCAGTCGAAAGTTCACGACTCATGCGCTTTGAGGCGAAACGCGCCTGTTCTCCTGGTAAGCGGCAACCCCTAGACGACGACCCCTGGGGATAACGCACCGCGTGGCCGCCGGACACGTGCCGATGCCAATGACGGGGATGTAAATATTATAGAAATCAATTATGTTAGTAGACAGGTCTAGGTGGACATTGGAAAAGTAATATTAAGGCAAGGTGGGGTACGTTGTTGCAATACAAATATCTTTGATTCTGTGATTCAATTTTATACTGTTTAGACGATATCATAAGCATCCATCAATAAACAGTTATTATCGCCTAAATTTTAACCTTGTTTAAAAAATAACAAACAATAATCGAATTAGTGTGGTCTTAAGAAATTGTAGTTCTTCTAAGCACTCCTTCAATCTAATGCAGTAATATGGAGTAACCCATTTGGATGTCCAAGTATACAAATCTTCAATACTATTACTGGTGTTCTAAACATCACCACAACAGCTCAGAAACTAAAAAACAACAACAATTATGGAAGAAAAAAATTTTTTCAGATAATTGATTTTTTTTATATATTGAACTTTATTGAAACAATCGCGCTGAGTAGCTGTTTTAGAGACGAAATATCAAAGCGCATTAGCGCCGCCTCGCAGTCTAGTGGATGAACATTAGTACGAAACCCATAGAAATATAAAAAAAAATTTTACTTATTTTCAAAATCTCTATAAAATATCTGATAATTTGCTGTGCATATATGTCTAATGATAATTTTTAGCCGCCAAACGGCATTTTTTTACTTTTTATATTGGACCTCCAAAACCGCTGGACATGCCTTCGCAAAAACTTAATCATTTCTTTCTTTCGGTGATACAAATCAAATGTCATTTGAATTTAGGGGGCGTCCATTAATCACGTGAGGTTTTTAGGGGAGGTGGGTTTGACAAAAAATCACAAAATATCACTTGAGGGAAGAAGGGGTATAATAAGATATTACGTAAATTTATTTTTCACCAGAAATTTAAAAAAAATGCCAAACATTTAAAAAAAATCAAATTTTACAATTTTTTCTCGTAACTAAAATTACACGTGATGTTTGGTAGGGGAGGAGGGGTAATTTTGAATATCACCACGTATCCCCAAAGGGGAGGGGAGATCAAAATTCCTTAAAAAATCGATCACGTAATTAGTGGACGCTCCCTTATTTAAATTGGTTGATCAGTGTTCCAGAAATCGTCGACGAAAATTTGTATCCGCACACACACACATCAATAAATAAAAATTTTCATTTTTATTTTTTTGCGATCACTTACTCTACGCGAAGTTAAAAAGTGGGTTTTTGTTTCTATGTTTCTTATAAATCTAATATTTGTTATTTTTCGTAAATATATACCCATTTTACTATAGTAACTTCAAGTATCTGTTACCTAAAGTCTTCTGCTTTTTAAGACGTATCGATAAAAATAAAATCATAATTCTATACCATGAGTATACCATTTAAATTAGCTTTAATCTCTTACTGATCTTTATGTAACAAAAACATATCTTGCATTCCTTGCATGATTTATCATATATCATAGATCATATAATTGACATATATCTTTTATTAAATAAACTTACGATGATATATTATAGCAAGGGATTACATATTGTCATATAAATTTGTATTAACAGAGGATTGGTGTCGTATTACGTGATATAAGATTTTGTTGTTATTATTAATTATTGCATTGTAACTATAAGCATATAATCTTTATGTAGAAATTATGTTTAAAAAAATATTTTTAGTGGCTCTTAGAAGTGTTCTACTTTATCAATTTATTTAAACTTATCGATAGTTCAGTTAATATCGCATTAGATTATAAAGTTTACAGAGAAATATATTAGTAGAAATTATTTTATCCCAAAAGAAATATTATTTGAGTGAAAATTGTTATCTGAGTTGTTGTAATTTTTTTTTATTAAGTAATAGCAAAAATTGAATTACAACTATAGACCCAGCACTACTTGGAGTGCTAGTCCTCATATGTTTTCCATTTTATAAAGTGTCAAAAGATTGAAGTGACGTCACTTAGTGAACGAGCGTTGCCGACAATTGTCGAATACTCCTGATTGATTAAATGTCATATGTTACGTGTTTAAAATAAAATTAAATCGAGTGTTTGAAATTGTTAAATTGTTGTGAAGAAAAAAATGAGTTTATGTATTGATTAAATGTCATTAAGATGTATAATATTAAGGTGAACATACCTCCCGATTTGGCCGGGACAGTCCCGGATTTTTCTAAAAGCAGTAATTGTCTCGGATTTAGATCTTTTTCCCCGGATTGGGAATTTAATAGGTATATAACAAAAATTATGAAAAGAAACTAACAAGTGCTATTTTTTTTTCAATTCAATTTATGAAGAAAATTAATAGAATTTTATACAAGGCAAAAAACGTACATATAAACCTTAACATATAAATAAATATAGAGATAAAAGGTATTACATATAATTGTATAATTACTACATAATTAATTACTAAAAATCCGCAATTCTGATTAAAAAAATGATTCAAATGAAAAAACTGTTTTTTATTATATCCTTAAATAGCATTTATTTAAAAGACAACCCCTCCTACCTCCCATCCCGGATTTAACTAAAAATTGTTGTCTCGGTTTTGACTTAAAAAATTATTAATAGTATGTAATATCCACTATTGTTTATGCAAATCGAGCATAGAATATTCACAAGTTATAGGAACGTTAAATATGGCATATGACATTTATCGGGAGTGCTCCACGGCTGTCGGCAACGCTCGTTCATTAAGTGACCTTACAGTACCCTTCTTTCTTCTGACACTTTATATAATGGAAAACATATGAAGACAAGCAGTCCATTTAATGTAAGGTCTATGATTACAACTTATGATTTCCAAAAAATTTGGGACAAAAAACCTAGATCCCTGACAAATATTGCTTCTAAAAAATCCGGCAAATAATTTTATTTCACATCAAAGTTAGACTTTTATTTCAATTAATTTTGAATAATGCGCATTTAACAAAGATAAACAAAGAAGGATTTGTGAATTTGATGTTTTTTGTCTATTCTAAAAGCCGCATATTTTAGCATAATTTTCATCTATTTCAATCCAAAAAGTATACACCATGTAATTCAGTATTTTTATTACAGATTTATGCAAAGTTCTACAGGTAGCGTGAAACAAATTACCATTTGCTCTACATTTTCACAATACACAATATTTCAACATACAATAAGTTATGTCATCCTGAATTTAAATTCTGGTATCCTTAAGTTTTATTGCAGTTTTATGCAAATAGGAATGAAAATGACGCAATTTCCATATGTACTATAGTACTATAATATATGTTTAACAACAAAATAACCACATTGCAAATGTCATGAATATATTGAAGTGCTTATAATGGCAGCATTTAAATCAACTACCACAGGATGTAGTAAAATTCTATAATAAATTGCCTAGAACGAGAACTTTCTCTTATAATCAGTAATAAATATTAAAGGAATAGAAAATATACAAACAAACCATTATGAAAAAAATTAAATACAATTTTATCCATGCAGTGTGGAAATTGTGAGCTTTTGAGTGCACGCTAGAGCTTTGGCCAAAGTGTCACCATTTTTTGATTACTGTGGTTGATTTTTATTAATTTTGTTTATTATTCTTTAGCATAAATTTTCAATATGGTTCACTAATTTAAAACAAATTTTATTCTTTTCTAAATTTATCTCTTTTTTCAGGTTTGCCCAGGAATTTGTGGACATCAGAGAACGCGAACGAAGGGCCAGAGTTAAAAAGGGCTCCAAAGCTCAAGGCAGAGCTTTAATGAACTTGTATAACAACGAGGCTGGTAGAAGGGTATGTAGAATTTTAAATAATTAAATTTAGTTATTTTTTAAATATTATAGCCAAGGGATATATTTATTTTACTTGTTTTAAACGACTAGTACTTGTCGTTTGAACTTATTTGTTGATTACATAATTTGTTAATTTGATGCTAGAAATAAAATCTGCACACTACTAATATTTCTTAATGTGGTGCTTGTATAAAAAACTAAAATTTTACTGATATTCCTTAAGTTTCTATAAATATTAAATTAATTTTCAAACTAAAATATATATTTACTAGAAATAAATTACCAATGTTATTTGAAAATGCTGCCTATTTATATAAAACTAAGAACTTGAACTGTATCAATTTTTCGGATGTTATGAATTTTTATTATTTTTGTTTATTAAAACTTTAGAACCACAGTCAAAAATATTACCATAATTGTCCCAAGTTTTGGAGAATTGAGACTCCAAATTGAGTTGAATTATGAATTTAAAATTAACAAAGTTAAAGACATTGATAGACTTTCCTTTAAATAAAACGCTCTAAAGTGCTTTGGCAAGTTCCATTGAAAGTTTGTACTTTTAATCAGGATTGTAATATAATTCAATACTTGTTAGTTTCATACTAAAAAAATATTTAAAAATAAAACTAACCCAAATTTTTCTAACTCATCACTATTTAAATGTTATTACGATATTTCCGATTGCGCAATATAAAAAAGTCCATAAGACCTTAAACAATTTTGTTACCATGTTACCAAAAATAACTTTCATAAAAAATCGTGTAAGATTCGATTGGCAAAATGGAAATGCGATATTCAATTAAAATTGGAGGCGTATCCGATCACGTATTGATTCATTGTATTCATCAAAAAACCAGTTAAGGTTCATTACGTTGCAGAAAAATTATTACTTATTGTTATGAAGACACAAACGAGCAAAAGTTATTATAAAGTTATAAATGAATCCGACGCTATATTTAAAACCAAACTGAGAAGAATGAAGAAACAATGTTCTAAAATTAATGCGATTATTATTGTTTGTTATAATAACCCTCCTGTATTGTCAACATATTTTTTATGGGATTTCTGATTTACATATGATTCATAGTAAGCTGAATGGCAATGTATATACATAAATTTTTATAAATAAATACTCTTGAGGAATCTCTCTTGCCTATAAAATATATTTTCGATTGTAATTACCTTAAAAATATATAGCAACTATGAGTAATAAAATACAAACATACGTTTCTTAAACTGCACGACATTTTTAGATGTTCAATTTACTTTTTCATTCTAATATTTACGAGTGACGATGTATTATGGTTTTGATTTTCATGGATTCTAGATTTCAACGACATAACCTCAAACTTCAGTTAGGTTGACATTTGACGTTTCGTAATCCATATAGAATTAAAGATATCACGTGACAAAACGATCTCGACCAATCACATCAACTCGTTTCGAATGATCACATCGATGACCAATGACGAGTCAGTATTTATGGCGTAACGCATTTCCGTTGCATTTTTGCTGAGTTACTTCCTAGTCGTGCCTGCAGAATTTTTTTTTCAAAAAAATTATTATTTTGTAATAACAAAGTAATATTTTATTACTAACATTACTAGCTTTGAAAGTGTTCTTGTTGTGTCAAAATTGAGAAGAAACGATAAATTCTTTATCATTTATCACCTGCTAACATTCCACTAAGTAGTCGACACTATAAATTATAAAACAAGAGACTTTATATTATAAACACATGATATAAAAGGATAAAATGCAGGTGGATTTCAAAACAGGTGCCCTGCTTTATTGCAACCTTATAATAATTTTTATTGTCGGTGATGAATAGTTTGTTATATAACAGAATATTTATGAGACAAATTCCTTAAGGCGAAAGAATTTTTAATATAATAAAAGACGCTGATCTGAACGTCTGTATTATTTTAAATTGCTTTAAATAATCAGCAAAAATATATCTTTACATCTTAAAATCTTAATAATAACTTGAATTTATTTCAGACTATCATTTAATTATTTTACAGAATATAAGATTTTATATATAAATACAATATTACTTAATTGAATAACATAAATGTAAATTACTTGAAAAAAGTCGTACCTTCTATGAATATAATTAGTTAAAAAAAAATATTTGGCAACTATTGAATCTTTAAGACTAATGGTTGATTTATTAGTGATTTCAAACTGTAATTTACGTTTTCTAAAAATGTTTTAGCTTTAGGTACAATTAAGGTGCTTAGTCGCCTGAGTCGTACGACTCATTTGAATTTAAATTCAAATAAATCAAGACATATATTTATCTTTTTAGCTTAGAAATCTGTCCATGGATACGCGTTAGGTGGTACGTACCACCTAACGCGATATCCATGGGACAGATTTCTAAGCTAAAAGATAAATATATGTCTTGATTTATTTGAATTTAAATTACTTTAAATAATCTAAAAGATATATTTTTACATATATGAAATATTAGAAATAACTACAATACTATTTAAAACACATTTTTGATTAAGATTAAGATTAAAGTCGTCGTACCAACTAACGCAATATTTCTAAATTATTTATTTCTATCTTATATTATTTCTAAACCTAAAAAAATAAATATAATTAATAATTTATTTGAGCTTACATTACCTTAAATAATCAAAAAAAATATATTTTAACATATATGAAATGTTAATAACAACTTCAATATTATTTGAGACTATAATTTAATTATTAGGGCAAAGTTGCTTAAATTGTACCATATAAGATGCTCCTAAGAAAATAATGCTGTAGTATTTAGTATAATTATCGTACTAAATCGTATCGTATAAATGATCGTACTAAAAACCTAAATTACTTAGCCAATGCAAAATTTTATGGGTACATTTTTTACAGAGATAACACTGTGTATAACCTTGATCTAGTATTTTGTCAGAAATATACATCAGCAGAGTTGTGCATATAATAATTCAATTTCTTCTTTTAAAATTGCTTTTTTAACATGATTCACTCTTTTTTGAAATTTGAAGGGATGGTACTAATTGTAAGTAACTTATAACTTAACCAGTTCAAAATTGTATGGGTACATTCTTTACAGAGATAAAACTGTATATAACCTTGATCTGGTATTTTATTAGAAATATTCATCAGCAGAGTTGGAATAACTATTAATTCAATTTCTTTAGCTAAAAAAATGGTTTTTTAACATAATTCACTTTTTATTGAAATTTTAAGGGATTGTACTAAATAACTAAATTCCTAAACTAATGCAAATATAAATTTTATAAGTATATAGCCTTGATCTGTTATTTCGTCAAAAATATTCATCAGCAAAGTTGGAATGACTATTTATTTTGTTTCTTTTTTGTAAAATTTCTTTTTAGTTTACAGTTTTTCCAAGGTAAATTTTCAGTTGCTCCTTTTTAGCTCACCAAGTTTATAGAGGTGATATAAAAACAAAACTGTTAAATCTAACTTTAAAATGATAACACATCTTATAAGAGAATTAAATAAAGTATACTTAAAAATTACGTTAAGGTCTCGTGAACTAAACAACAGTGCTCACAACCAAAAACAAATGAAAATACTTTGGTTATGGATTTTCAAACACTATGGCGTTCATCTTCTGATAGCAACTTCATAAAAATCAAGGTGATGGCTGGTTATACATCTTTTTCCCTCTACTTTCAAACATTGTTGTTGAAAAATTCTTGACGTTACTTGTTTTTGAGATATCGATGGTAAACCTTTTTACCGGCGGTTCTTTAAACCCGCTCTACTCTATATGTATATAATTTATTATATTATTTTCCGCCTCTGTTTCTGAGTATCTACAATCTAAGATTTCTGTTCGTGACATTATATTATAAATCTATTATATTTATCTGCCCTGCCGCCGACTTTTCTCAATAAATCCTCCAACAGAAGCTTTCCGTTCGACCGGTCTAATTGCAAAACAATATAAACATCAAATTGAAACACAAAGTAATTGTGTTTCTGATATTATTTATTACGAGAAAGGAATTGTCGATAAACGGAATATAAATCTTTGTATTTGAAATACTTTCAAAGTAAATAGTTATTAACATTGTCGTATATTTTCGATCGCTCAATTCTGCAACCGATAAATTTTTATTCGAAAATACATCGAAGGCAGACTGGACGTTTTATCGTTTAATTCCTCAGTCGGCATTCTCGGTTCGTGTTTGAGTTTATTTTATTTCTTTTTAAATATCTTTTTCAGCTGCAAGATTTTAAAGCCGCCGATCTTAACAGAAGAGAAACGAGGCGCCTCGACGGTGATTGGGGCAGTATCGCCTTTTAAGAATTTATTATGAGGATATTTAATTAAGTGATGCGATATGGATTATAGATGATACAGAGGATTTATTTAATATAAATTAATTATTTACTTTGGTTAATTATTTATTTTAGAGGCTTTAGATTTAACGGATACTATGTGCATGCATGAGCATGATGAATAAGAATTGGTCCGAAAGCAAATCCGTGTGCTCACGTTAGAGCAATTAAAAATGGAAATGATTTTTTCAATATTTTAGGAGAAAAAAGTTTCATTTGATATGAATTACCCCATGTTAGCATCATGGAATCATTATCTATCAGAGAGGTTTGGGCCGTTTTCTTGTAATAAAGTGTTGAAAAAAAAAATTTCACGATTTTTATTATTATTTTTTTGACGGTAGATACCATAGTCTTCTAGATCATACTAAAATATTACGACCCTACGACAACTCGTTTAGCTTTAAAAATTCGTCAAAGTTTTCAAAAATTAGTATCGTTTTTTTGTCATTTGTCAGAATTAGACCTTTCATCGACGATTGATCAAAACGCCTGAACCGATTTCAGAAATTTAAAAACCTTTTCATGTGTCTCAATGAGGACTATCGCTTCTCAGTTTTGTGCGACAATCGGCCGAGCCGTTCCTTTGAAATTTGGAAAAAAGTGGTAAACTTTTCGTCCACATTTAAGCTCTTACTACCGAACCGATTTTAA